TCCGACCACAAGTGGCATTCGTCAGGGTTGTCCGATTTCCCCATTTTTGTTCAATTTCGTCGTGGATTCTATCATGGAGTGTTCCCTTGCGGAATCTCACGATGTAGGCGTCGAAGTGCTGCCTGGTGAAAGGTTAGTTGATCTAGATTATGCGGACGATATCATCTTGCTTTTCGACAATGTTGCGACGGCACAATCAACCCTGAATAGCCTATCAAGAGTGGTCCCATTATTTGGTATGCACTTCGCACCTTCAAAGTGCAAAGTGTTGCTGCAGGACCACCAGCCACTTTATGACCCCTTGACGCTTGCTAACGAGGAACTCGAGGTGGTTGATCAATTCACTTATCTTGGCAGCTGCATCAGCAATGATGGGCGCATAGAAACTGACGTGAGCTCACGCATTGCAAAGGCCAGAGCTGCCTTCTTGAACCTGCGTCATCTTTGGCGACAAAAGGGAGTTTCCCTTCGTCTGAAAGGCCGTGTATACAAGGCCACAGTGAGGGCCGTTCTGCTCTATGGTAGTGAGACTTGGCGCTTCAAATCTTTGGTCATCGTTGTCTGCGAAGCATTGCTGGTGTCGGATGGCACCAGCGTGTCCGCAACGATGATGTGCGTAGGCGAGTACTAGGTTGTGATAATCACGCTAGCTCCCTAGAACAACAGATAGCACTGAATAAGTTGCGTTGCCTCGGGCACGTGCTACGTATGCCTGGTCACCGCTTACCTAGGTGGGCCTTGTTCAGTCTGCCAGGTGTAGGATGGCGCAAGGCTCGAGGTGGACAGAAGTTGACTTGGCAGCGGGAAATGAAGTCACTGACAACCAAACTGGGTGCCGTTGGTCCGTCTCGCCTTCCAGGTTGGAGTCCACGTGACTCGCCTTGTGCTTGGCTCGAGACTTTACAGGACATGGCTCGCAACCGACACCAGTGGCGCGTCTGCTGTCGTCTCCTAATCGGATTGCTTGTTTAAGGTGTGTTTGGTGCTGAGTTATCTGCGGGGTAATGGCTGATTATGACGCGTGGCAGTGAAAGCCGCAAGGAAGCTGTCTCGCCGATGCCGCCTTATCTTTGCACGATAGCCAGCTGTTTGTGACGGCATGTTGTCTACACAAGGTGTAGGCGCCTTGACCCTGAATGTTTGCTTTGGGCATTAAGGTTTTCAGGTAAGTCCCCCCTCTGTCCCTCTTCTTATTCTTTATTTCATAGGTCCTCATGATTGTATGGCAGCGAAGCATCAGTTCAAATGGCTGATGTACTGCTGTTGATGATGATGATGTCCCCAGGTTCCGAACCTCCTCCTATTCAGATGGTGCAGAATGAGCCATGATCACTTAGTATAGATGCTCCCTCGGAAGCTGAGGTACGAAAAGTGATCACAGCCCTTAATCGGTTAGAGCTGCTGGTCCGGATACTCTTGAAAGCACACGCGGTGCAAGGATGACAGTAATATCCCTTGCAAAGCACCACTTGTTCGGACAGGTCTGGAAGGAAGAGACTATTCACAGCTAACTGGGGTGAATCGATCATAGTGCCATTACACAAGAAACGCAGTCGCACAGACAGTGAAAACCACAGTAGTATTAGCCTACAACCAACGGCGACAAAAGTACCAGACTTAATTCCACTTTGCTGCCTCAATGGGGAACACGAATCCCGGATTAGGGAAGAGTAAGCAACCTTCCGTCCAGGAAGCATGTACAGATCACATAATCACTCCGTGGCAGATGCTAGAGCAGCGCACCTGTACCGCAGATCGACAACAGCTTTGTTCTTAAACTTTAAGCGCGTTCAATCCAGTCGATCTACATATGCTGTTCGAGATACATGTGCGAAAAGGTGTTCCCATGAAATATGTGAACATTTCACGTGCTCTTGTACTGGGTCACGCGCAAGGTCTACGGTGACTTGGTGGACATCTTCCCAACAACAAGTAACTTTCGTCAGTGTTACCTAAATTCCCCATTTATCGTTCAAAATCTTCATGGAACCCATCATGGACAGTCCCCTTGCGGAACCTCAGGATGCAGGTGGTGCCTGACAGAAACTTATTAAGCTTGATTAGGTGCACGACATTGTCTTTCTTCTTAATGATGTTGGAGCGGCGCAATCAATCCTAAGTAACCACTAGAGTGGTCTCATTATTTGGCATGCGCATCGCACCTACAAAGTGTGACTTTTTTCAGGACTAGCAGCCAGTTGATGACTCCTTGACCATTGATAGCGAGGAACTCGAGGTAACTGAACATTTCAACTAGTTTGCCAGCTGCATCAGTAACGATTGACGCAAAAACCACTGAAGTCAGCCCACGTATCGCAAAAGCTAGAACAATTTATTGAATCTGGGACAACTGTGGCGTCAGAAGGGGGTTTCCCTTGGTCTTAAGGGCTGCGTTTACGAGGCTACAGTGAGGACCGTCTTACCTTTTGGTAGTGAGACTTGGTCTCTTCAGTCTGAGGCGGCTTTAAGTTATTATCCTCGTTGTCTACGAAGCAGTGCTGGTGTCAGATGGCACCAGCGTGTCCGCAACCAGGATGTAGGTAAGACAGTGCTAGGCAGTGAGAAACAAGCTAGTTCTTTAGAACAACAGATAGCACTGAACAGGTTGCGTTGGCTTAGGTACGTATGCCTGGTCATCGCTTACCGAAGAGGACTTTGTTTCGCTTGCCATGGTGGTGAAAGGCTCGAGGTGGGTAAAAGTTAAGTAGGCAGTGGGAAATGAAGTCAATGACGGCCAAACCGGGTGCTGTTGGTCCGTCTCGCCTTCCAGGCTGGAGTCCACGTGACTCGCCTCGTGCTTAGCTCGAGACTTTACAGGACATGGCTCGCAGTCGACACCAGCGGCGCATCTGCTGTCGTCTCCTAGTCAGACTGCTTGTTTGGAGTGTTTGGTGCTGAATTACCTGCAAGTTAATGGCTGATTATGACGCAGAGCAGTGAAAGAAGCAAGGAAAGTGGCTCGCCGATGCGGCCTTATAGTTGCATGATAGCTAGCTGTTTGTGACAGTGTTGTTGACAAAATGTGAAAGTGTGTCATTCACCTCGATCAAGATGGTGACCCAGTTTTTCCCCGTCTCCCTACAGGATTCGCGTATTTGTGTGGGCGAACCTATGCAGCTGCAAGACTACTGGAACAGCGCAGGTTACCATGACTCTACCAAACCCAGCCTAAGTCTATTAGGCTTGTGCAGCACGAAACGGCCAAAATGAGCGACAATTGATTATAAAATGTATCTCCGAGTCAGCGACAGTGCAAGCGAAGGTCATTTGCACAAAAACGATATCCTTACCAAGCTTATGTTTGTTAACGGCAAAACCACGCACGAAGCTGCTGAAGGTATAGATGTCAAACAGAGCACGGCAAGAAACATCGCCAATGCCTACAGGTTAGAAAGTACCAATACTCCGCCCAAATGTAGAGAAAACAATAGTAAAAAGCTGACTCTCGATATCCTGCAGCCCGTTGAAGAGATCGTTGAAAGCCATCCCAAGGACACTAGTTTAGCTGAAGCACCTGCTGAGAGAACGGGATCCACCTTTCTGTGTCTACGGCCTTCAACACTTTCAGAAGTCTAAAGATCATGCTCAAGAAATGCTATTAAGAGCAAGACCATGTATTCAGTTCCACGACAATCGCACCGCGTATCAGAGAAATACCTTCGTAGATGAGAGCAGGTTTAATCCCCATTTGCGGCGGAGGCAGACTGGTTCAAGAATGGATATGCGCAAACGTCCTCTTGCTTATAATCAGAGGCCCTATGGTGACGCTGACTGTGGCAATGAAGAATTAAGGCATCATTTGTCTAGAGGGTATCAACGAGGACACCTGTAATGGTGCAAGGTTCTCGATTTTGTCGAGGAATCAGTGGCGCGTATACACTTCAAAGTAGGGATGAACGGTGCATGGCTTGTCATGGACAACGTCAATATCCGCGTGCCGGATGACCTAAGGAGGATCCGGAGCTAGTTCTATGAGTCGAAGTTCCTGCCGCCCTACCCGTACATAATAAAAGTTGTTTTCGAAATTACAAAGGTCGGTGAGACGCCTGCTAACTAACCTGATGCCTAACCAGAAGCAAGGTACGGTCATTCAAGAGAGTATTGGGACGGTAACGCACCAGGACTGCACGAAATGCGTCCTGAATATGATGCTTAACCTGACAAACGCAGCACTCAGACAGTCATTCACCAACTGACCGTCTTTAACAATACTACTATCTTGTTAACACACCGTCATTTTTAAATAGGCGTTTATCAAACAAAACTGCCGGAATTAGCATGTAGGAGTAGAGTATACCGAAAAGTCGAAAGCGTAGGCTTGTCGACTTGAGATTGTCATGGCAATGTTGCCCCGGGCTAACTCGTAATAGCATCTCTTGAGCATAATACTTAGCCTCCTGAGAGTGTTGAAAGCCTTAGACATGGAAAAGTGGACACGGTTTTCTCTCAGCCGGTACCGCAGCTAGGAATGCCGTTCCATAAGTCTGTTCAATGTGCTGCAAAACATCGGAAGGCAGCTTCATACCGTGGTTCCCTTCATATTTGTACTGAGTAGTGGTTCCAATAATCGTGTAGCCGAATGGATTCGGTCACATGCCCATACGAAAAAAGCGAAAGTCTGTAGAGAGATAGGGAATACTGGATCAGGGCCTTTGGTCAAGGTGAAAGACACGCATGATCAAGAGAAGGACTTGCGCAATGGCTGGCTGCATATACAGTTCGGCTGCATCAGAATGACCACAATGTGGTCTGAACATCGTCTAGTCGCCTCACTCCTTATTTCTTGCTTACAGATTGTTGATTTTCGGGCTTTGAATACAAGTTGTTCAATTTGGTTTGCAAAACGTGCAAATTAGTTTGCAAAAGTTCAATTTGTATTAAATGTATATAGAGAAACAGAGCAAACATTAGAAACGATATTGCACGCTTACAATAGGAAGGCGAAGTTTAGAAGTAAATGAATAACGCAGGGGATTAAAAAGGGGTCCTAGAGAACTTACGAGTCTTTCCAGACACACTGGGCAAGAAGGCAATTCCAAAAGATCTTTTGTGGGGAACGCCGTACCCTACACTAATATGTTGATAGATGAAGAGAATTGCCTTTGACGGATGTGTCTTTTCTACGTGTGAGACATACATAAGCTGACAAATTTCAGACTCCAAATTTCGGTAGCAAGTGTTGTTGTACGTTCTGTAAAATTGATTCGTTTCTCTCTGAAAAAGAAAAATGAACGGAATCAAATCGAAGTGTACCTGGGAACGAAATTTCAGCAACGCCATATAATGGTGGGGTCCTCCAGCTTTCACAACCTTCAACTCTTCGATTGATTCTCTAGGCTAGCTCAAAACAACAGAAAGCGCACTCACCTCATGGGAGAAACAAAATTCAGCAAGTCTTTAACGGTGACGTGAGAAGGCACAGAAAAAATGCATAACATAGTCGACGTGACTCCGTTTTCGGAAGCTTGCAAACCAAGGCTGAAAATGTTTCACAAGTGAGCACTACGCACTCATTTTTATAGACATGCACAATCCCCTCAGTGGTCTCCACAACCGGGTTGCCGGAGTGAAAGACAATGGTTGCACTGTCAGGACAGCCCTCGGCCATGTCTGAGGAGATGTGGGGCTGTCCCGTCAAGTTATCGCGGAGTTCTCTGGATACTTCTTCGAACGTGTAATACTCTAGAGTAATTGTGGAGAATGTTCTATTTCCCCTATTTACAGAGTCACGCTGTGAAGAAGAAACAAAGTTGTCTGCGGTATTTGCAGCCTTGATAACAAAAGGATGAGGTAAATCGGGAGCTGTGGAAAAAATAAATTAGAGCAGAGACGTACAGGAATATGTCACAGCTTCGGAAAGTCGCGACACTTTTTCTTCAAGAAGGATCACTAGATGGCAAGGAGAAGAGTGGTTCATTGCACATCACGCAATGTGATGAACGGCGCCGAGAAAAGCATGCGTCACGCTAAACAGAGAAAATGCAAGTAGACACGTGTAGAAAGATGAAAAGAAATTTGACTACTCCGCTCATCAAATATGGAAAACGACAACGCACATATCAGTGAAATAAATCAAAGAACTGCAGTGTATTTCAAGTCCAGGTGGGATTTGAACGATGGGAGAATCCTTGAGCAGCAAATCGAACCAGGAATTGATAAGGTGCTCCGAAATTTGGATGGATCTAAAAGGAAACGAAAGAATCACATTCTAGTCAACCAAGTAATGCCCACGTGTCCTGCAGTAGCAGCCCCAGTTGTGCCAGTTGCGTGAAGTAAGCAACAGATAGGAAGAAAAAGCGAAGGTAAAGAATAAAAAATGACCTTTGGAAAATGTTAGGGATTGGAAATCGCCATGAGTAGTTGCTTGAAACACACGTTTGGAACTAGATCCAAAAGCCCAAAGCAAAATTGCTGACTTTCAAGCAGGAAATTTAGTGCAGGCAAACAAATCGACAACTGACAACTGCCTAGCTAGAAGAAGTACACTGGGGAATTCAAAAGTGCACAGGTTGAAAATAAAAAGAGAATCATCGATGGCGTAGTGTGCCACAGGGAAGAAATCAAAAGGAAAAGAAAAGCTTTTCATAGAACAGAAGCAGCACCAACGAAGAAAAATGTGTGCTTTTTACATCTCATAAGAGAGGTCTGGCAAAAACGAGTCATTTAAAGAAGTCAACTACCACAACAGCACTTAGGAATGGCTACTTATAGCTCTGCTTCTACGAGTTCAGCAGTAGGGGCTTTACTGGACCTTAGACTCGAGCTGTCCATCCACAAGGATGTAGGCTGACATCTGCCTTATTTTTCGATGGAATGGAATTTACAGTGTCCGTGGATAGAGAGACGAAAGTTTTCAGTAATATGTCACGCAGCAGTGGTCGATGATTGATGTCCTTTGTTCATTTCCCGCGCCCTAGATGTGACTAGTTGCGGTACCGACTCCACATTTCATCATTCACTAATACATCGTAAAGTATTCGTACTCCGAGAGCTTCGACCCATTCATTATGCCCACGTCTGTAATCCCGAGCGTATACAGGTGTTTCAACATTGAGACTACGATGATTTTCTGCTTCGGTAGATATAGGTGAATCGTTCCTCGGGATGAGCAGTTTGCGGCCATCAGAGCTTCGGCAGGAAAACAACCTTTGAGCATCACTAGGTTTGCAGTAGTTTGACATGAAAACAAGAAAGCTTGCAGAATCTCATCAGTAGACACCACCCCACGCGACTTCTGAAGCGTTCATCTGTACAGACGAAGCGTTCGACTTGACCATTCGATCGAGGGTGGTACACCAGGGTCCGTATGCGTTGGATGCTCCTACGAAAACAAAAGTTAGTGACCCATTGTCTGGAATATGCACATCTGGCAAACCATGTTGGCTGAAGATCTTCCGAAGAGCGGAAATTGTGCTAGTTGAGGTTGCCAGATTAAGTGCTACTATTTATGGCCAATTAGAGAAAGCGTCGACAAGGATGAGATACGACACTCCATCGACTGGCTCAGTAAAGCTTAAATGAAGGCGGGACCATGGATCTTGAGGTGGTGGTCACGGTATCGGCTCTTGCCTAGCGGGTAGCTTGGCGGCTTGTCGACATTTACAACACATCCTGAGAAGTTGCTGTATGTCGACATCCATAGCATGTCAGTAATAATTACGTGCGACGGTCTTCATCCAGCTTTTGCCCGAATGAAACTGGCGGAGAACAGCTGGACGGACAGATGACGGTACCACAACTCGGTAAGCAAACATAAGGCATGATTCAATAACGGATAATGATTTGCAGCGACAGAACAGCTGATTTGGCTCACCAGTATGTCCTTCCCCGCAAGCCATCGCGACCATGTGAAGGAAATTGCATGTTGAAGAACCGGATCATGCGTGGTTGCGCGACCAAAGTCGCCAGTGCTAACCGGAATCCTATGGACGGCATCTGAGAGCTGCCGATGGCCATCTTCCTCAATGTGTACAAAAGCAATGACTGCGTCGCCTTCGGTCGTACGAGGATTGCGCAACAAATTGTCCGAAATTGCCGGCGCTACGGCACTGGATGGTAAAATCGTACCCCAAGTGAATTGTTGCCAAAAGTTAAGAACGCTTGGTGGAGTATATTGGAATACCCGTCCTGGCTCCAAAAAGCGAAAGCAACGGTTTTTGGTCAGTGAGCAGCGTGAAATATCGGCCAAACAGAAAATTGTGGAATTTCTTGACAGCAAAGAAAGCCTCTTTTTAGACTTGACCGTAATTTTTCTCAGTTGCTATGCGTTCACGAGGCGTGAGCGATAGTGCTTTCAGAACAGTTTAGGAAAACATGGGAAATGACTGCTCCTGTGCCGGAACTATAAGCATGTTGCAACCACGATGGGCATATTCGGACCAAGTGTCAACAAGAGGATTCAACTGAGCATCGTCCTGAACTTGGTATAAACAGCTTCCCATTCAGTGAACCAGATTTAGCTTGTATCATTTTGCAGATGGTTCAGTGGATAAATTTCATTCCACTTTATTTGTCTTGTTCTACCTACCCGAATAATCTATTAACTTGCACACGTTGCTTACGCTAATTATCCGTCGTCAATGGTTGTTTGCTTTTGGCGGAAAGAGTTGTTATCCCTAGTAAGCTTCGCTAAAGAAATCTACGGTAATTTCATCGTGGACACCCTGGCATTAACAGAATGAAAAAGATTGCGCGGAGTTAACTTTACTGGCCGAATATCGACTCGGAGCTGGAACAGCTAGCAAAATTGTGTCCAAAATGTGCGCTTGTAAGCAACGCGCCCAGGAAAGCGGAATTACCTTTTTGGCCGTTGTTAACGAAACCGTGGCAGCGAGTACACGCAGATTTTTTGGTCCTGTGAATGGACAACAGTATCTCATCGTTGTTGATACCTACAGTAAGTGGCCGGAAGTGTTCTGCATGGAACGC